GACAAGTGGGTGACAGCCTGGATCCCGTAATCATCGGTAACTAGTTAATACCCCGGGCAATGCCCCGGCCCTTGAAATAAAAAAATAAAAAAAAAAAATTTAATATTAAAAATAAATTAGTAGTGAAAAGACATATAATTACTTAAAAGAAAAATATAATAGTGAGTTCTAAGGAATTTAATTCCAATTATGTTAATTCATATGATATTAGCAATATATGCATATTTAACGGCTTGGGAATACAATAAAAAAATAAAATACTCGTAATGTTGTGTCTTATTATAACCATAGTATCCGCTGCCATATATGATTCATGAATAACATTGACGATACAATCTCAATGTAAGGAATCTGCCATAGGAGGTTTCTGCAATCAAAATTTAACTTGAAGAAATGAGGATTGTCTCATGTTATATAGTACATTATCAAATGTGTTTTGCAAGAATACATTTACAAAAAAATCAATGGAAACTAAATCAATACCTCAAAAGTATATTGTAACAAAGTTCACACATAATGAGGCCAAAAAGCCCAACAATAAACTAACAACAAAAGTTATGAGGCCTATAGCAAAGCTCAAATAAAAGTACAGTAAAGTAGGTAGAATAGAATTAATAGCAAGTAAACTTTCTTTAAAATATCTCTTTATACTAATTCAAAATTTAAAGAAGAATTTCTTGTCATTATCCAGTTTGTCTTTCTATGCAAAGTGCTATTCTTGTTAAGTATCTTTTAGACTATGTTCAAATTTCCTTCACCAATATAGAAATGCTCTTATCAATTCATAGTCACTAAAAAATCAATGTAAAAAGCAGTAAAGTCAATAATGAATCCTAGTATCCTACATACATATACTTTATATTACTGGATGATTTTGCATCTATACTTGTATATAAATTCCCAATTCTAGCCACATTTAACATATGTAATTATGTATTGCATTTTACATTTTGCATTTTGTTGTCTCCATGATACCCACAAAGGAGAAGGAAACAAACAGAGGTAAGGTAAAATGGTAAATCCCATAGCCCTAGGTCTATGTGCATCCAGGAAAATTCAGTTACAAACTATTAATTAGAAGATAAGGAAAATTCTAAATAATTAGAATGTTTTTTGGTTAGAAAAATAGAGTTACTAAACAAAACCACAAGCACAAAGGAATCAATGAGCAGTATCACCAGCAAGTATTATTTGATTGTAGCAACATACAAACTTTTCAGCAACTTCAGCATACATCATCCATAGCTTTATATCAATAATAATTATAACCGAGAGCTCTTTACCAACCAGTTTGACTTATTAACTTCTTACATGTCTACACCAATTTGCATTCTTTCAGAGCAATTGTTATAAAAAATGGAGAAGGAACCTTATTACATACCAAATTTTACAATTAAGATTTTTTTTAAAAAGTCCATCTTGTGTATCAACTGTTAGGGTAGTGTGAAAATCATTCAAGAACAAGTATAATTAACTAATTTGTCTTGTGCATGAGATAATAATTGTATAAGCAGAAAGCTAAAGCCTAAGCTTATGCATATCTCAAGGGTTAATCTTTGGGGGGATTTCTTCATGTTAAACTAATGATGCTACATAAGATGGCACTTTCATACCATGATAGCTTCACGACAGCTTCACCATTTCTTTACCAGCCATGTAACAAATTGATGAAGAAAGTAAAATAATTGCTGCAAAAAATGGAAAGCTGGAAGCATCAAAGCTAAACCAATTAACCATTTTGCATGAAGTAATTTTGTAACACTAAAAAAGCTAAAAGCTAGACAAAACCTTTTACCACCAGCCATTCCAAAAAAAACCCAAAATTAAAGAGATGTCGGAGATGCATTTGAACATTTTGTTATAAACTAACCAGATTCAATAGGCAAAACTCCTAATTTCCCATATAAGCTTAATCAAGACTAATGAATTGAATTATACTGAAGAATCCCTTTGTCTCTAACTTTGTTATGAACTGAATATTAGAATGATACAACTAATATGCATTTAGAAGTATATTTAGATTCTAATAAATTAAAACAAAGGTGATACGCAAATACAACTATTTATGTGGGTATCATTTAGCTAAACCCAAGAACACTGAACTTTTCTAAAATCTCAATTATCCTAGCAAATGATGCTATGCCCTGAAAAATATAGGTCAAAACTATGTCATGCTACTCTAGCCTACAAACCCAATACAGGTCAATACTCTATATGCTCGTTTCTATGAAATAAAATCAGCATACATTATAAGAAAGCTCAACTGAAACTAATCTAAAATAAAAAAAAAAATAAATAAATAAATACCCTATATTTTAGGTCCTTGAGAGCATCAACCACTTTGGCACTATCATTAACTTGACATGAATTTCATTGGATTGAGTAGGATCATCCCATAGATTATAGGCACAGATTATTTTCTCTTATTTGATTCGTCTAGCTTCTTCAAATTCTAGGGTAGTTGGTGCTAACATTTCTGCACAGAGAATTACATCTTCAATCTTTTCAATGAAAACAAACCTAAACCATTTGAATTAACATATCTAATTTCAAGTGAGAAAGGATGATAAAGATGTAAGAGATTTGAAAAAATAAACAACAGCTGCAAAAAAATTTGTTAAAACTCGTAGCTTATTCTTAAGAATAATCGTTTTGAAAACACAATTTCTTAAAATAAATTACTATCTCCTCAGCTTTGATTTGAGAACTCTTATCCTCTAGGCAAGTCTGAAGTCTCAACAATGGGAACTGGGAAATACATTACATTAAAAACACCAAATGTTCCTTGAGAATTAGAGAATTACAATGCAACAAATTTCAATTTCTCTAAAATGTAACATCCAAGGTGCTACAAAACTAAATGCCAACATTTAGACATCTCTTTAGTTTGCACTTTCATTTCTTAAGTAAAGATAATTCTTTGTGACATTAACTCAAATAGTTGATGCTCATTAGCATCTGAAATCTCAAATCAATTCAAAAATTAGAGACCCATTTTGAACTACAGTACCAAGAAAGCATGATAAATCCAAGTACATAAAAATGGAGAGAGAAAAAAAAAAAAGCAAAGAAGACAAACCAAGCGGGTTATACACCCTATTTTTGTGATCAATAGAATGAGAAGCTCGAACTGTCAAACGTAAAGATTGAGTCTTTGATTGAAGTAGCCTATAAAATAAAGCATGATTAACTATTTAGTGTTTACACACACACAAAAAAAAGTTATGTCATCCGAAGAATTTATTTCGAACTCCCAATAATTTGGTAGGCAGCATTAACCACTTCTAACCAAACACATCCAAAATCGGACAAGTGGGTGACAGCCTGGATCCCGTAATCATCGGTAATAATATTCTAATAGATTGTTTTTTTGTAAAAATAAAACAAAAACAGAAGACATGGCCACCGAGGCAAAATGGAGACCAGGACTGGTCTCTCGATATGGAGAACGGGGCTGCGGACGTGTTTAATGGCCGAAACGGCGTCGTTTGATCCCTGAAATGGGCAAAAAGCATTAAACTGCATTTAGCACTTGTCAGCGCCTTCTCTTTTTTTTTTTCCACTTTAATTTTTTTAATTCAAAATTTATTTTTTTTCTTTACAGATTTTTTAATGCAA